AATCCTTTAAGTGAGATGTATAAATTGATAGTATCAAACAGATTTGTAGATAGTTAAAGTAAAGAGTAGTAAGTGATTAGATTTTGTAATATTTGGAATTGTACTTGAATAATTTCTAAGTTTGCAGAGTTAAGAGTTTTAGTTACTAATTGTAGAATAATTTCTTGTAGTATATTAGTATTATAGTTTATAATCTAGTGAAGTTCTAAGTCTGTTTAGTTGCATTTAAAGCATTTGTTATCTGGTATATAGTTTGGGTAATACTTATGAAAATGTGATAGTGTTAGTAGTTCATTATGGAGAAGTTTAATACAGAAAGTTTTAATTTTGCTAAGTTTGAAGTTAGTGAATTTGTGTGAATGTTTGTTGTTGTTGTTAAGATATAATCAAGTAGAGTTCTAATTAATTTAGTCATATAAGTGAGCCTATATTTGGTTACAGTTTTGGAATAACTATATTGTAATAGTATATGTATTACATATTGTTTTAATTAGCTTGCATGTAGATTGTTCTATAAAGAAGTTTTCTTAAATAATGTAAAAGTTAGAATTATATAAATTAGTATGTTTGAATTTGAGAAATAGTAGTGTTTGATGATTTTGTGCAAGTGTATTAGCTATATTATTTAGATTATTATCACTATAAGCTAATACTTTATAAAGTATGATAGTAAGTTTGTAGGATTTGATAAGATTGAGTAGAGTGTGCTAGATAGGCCAGTTGTTGTAAGAGTAATAGTGTAAGAGATTTGTTGTTGTTTGAGTAAGTTTTTGATATTTGTCTATTACAGATTGTAAGTCTGTATAGATATCAATTTTGCAATAGTAAGGAGCTGTACTAATTGCTAATAGTATTGCAAGTAATTTTGTTTTATAAGATGATAGCCAGTATTGGACTTATGCAGTAAAAGAATTAGTTACAGAATTGTTTTCAACTTGTATCTATTCAATACCCATAAAGAAGTAGTTAGTTATCAAGTTGTGAACTGAACTATCTATGTAAAAAATTAAATTTGTGAAATTGGAGTTAGATATTGCAATATTATTTAGATAAAGAGATGAATTGTTTGGATTAAATATTTTTAGAACAAGATTATTGTAAATAATAATATTTAGAATAGGAGGTATATAAAGTAGATGTCTATTTGCAATTGCATAAATAAGGTTCAGATAGTTAGCATTAAATTTAAGCTGTTTTGTTTGGTTGTTAGAAATTTTCTTTCTCCAAAATCTTGTAGATAGAGTGGTTGAAATATCAAAAGTACATTAGTTTTTAATTCTATTAGAGTTGAGATTGTATCCAGAGCAAGGGCTGCATGTTGTTAGTAGAATTAGATAATAATCTGTATGTGAGTAATCAATATTATGTATCCAATGTGTAATAGAGATAGTATTTAGTTGTGAGTTAAATAAACAGGAGGTTGGAGTTTTGCCTATAGATAAGTAGCCAATTTGTGATGATAAATATTCCTATTTTAAGAGAACACTATTATCTATTGTAGTGAGTTAGTTAAGATAAAATATCTTTTTAGTTTTGAGTTCAATTTGGTTTTTTTTTCTTGGCATCTAGCTATATTATTTATATCTTATTTTTAATTAATAATTAATTTGAGAAACTAGTGACTAAACATAGTAAACTATAAAAATATGTTTACTATATAATTTTTGTTTTATTTAGAATCTAAAATTTCACAACAGATAACTTATTTTTTTTTTTTACTAAGTAAACTCATCATTTACTTCTAATTAAAGTTGTAAAGAAGAAAATTCTAGACATAATGATAATTAAATTGCTAAAATCAGCCTGATAAACTACAAGATATAAGTATTTTAATCTTCGCGTCTATATGTTTATTTTTTTGTTTATTTAATATAGTCGCAAAGATTAAAATACTCATATTTTGTGATCTACTAAGCTGATTTTAGCGTTTTAAGTATTATTATATTCGGAAATTTATTCTCTAGAACTTTTATTAGAAGTAGAAGATAGATTTACTTAGTAAAAAACGAGTTGCCTGTTGGGAAACTCCAGATTCCAAAAAAAGGTAAGATTAAATAGTGGAAATCACATGATTAGTTACTGGTTCTTATGCGGATCACAAATACATAAAGATTTATGTTTAAGTAACAAAGGATAAATCAGTTATGTTGGATAATTGATTATAAGCTTATCAATTATCCAAGACATCTATTACTACTTATAAGGATAGTAAAAAAAAAAAAAAAAAAAAAAAACAGTTTAAAATTTTCACCAATTTAAAGCAACATGATATAGATAAATATTTCTATTTCAAAACATTAAATAAAATTTCATTATTCAACCAATAAGGATTTTTTGAGAACATAAATGTTCAACTCTGCATGTATGTACGTACGTACCGACCTACATACAGAACGTATGTAGGTACGTACTTTGAAAACCTTATTAGCAACAGAGTACGGATTCGCTTCATAAGGCAATAATACATTTTGACTTAGAAAATTACGTACACAACTATAAATTAAATTTGTCGCACGATTATTTAAATGATAAATATAATATGCAACTAGTTTGACTAAAATGAAACCTTCTTGAAATCATTAAACCTTTTAATCGTAAAGTTTGTTAAGATTAAAAAGCATTTTTCTTTTTAAATATTTTCACAATCTTTTTTTTTTTGGGGGGGGGGGGACAAAATCAGAAAAGGAATAAGGAGATCTAATTAGGGTATATAAATTAAATTTTCGATATCGATTTAATTATCGATAAATAATCCGCCATCTTGACACTAATTTAAACTGATAGATCAAATTTAGTAAAGTTTCGGAAAAAACAATGTAACAAATCAAATCTCATTATCTGTTATGGTATTACCGGTATACGCTTTAATTAATGAATAAAAGGTTAATTCATGCTGAAGGCTGAATTCTGTTTTATATGTACTCATCTTCGCGCTTGATCTATATATATATGCTGTGAAACTTTCAAGGTTGATTAATTGTTTAGTCACATGCTATCAGCTATAAGACTTAACTATTGAACTAACGCTAAGCCACCTGGGTGACCAAAGTAATGTATTTACACAACTAAATGCGTCAAACTCTTTCTTTAATACAAGTTCTTTATACTGTAGATTTTTATTTTAAAATAACGTGTATACTAGATATAAAAAATTTTTTTCATGTCGCAACCAATACAGGCTTCAGTAAGGATCTTCACCCCACCATCGTCCCCATCTACGATGATAGGACAAGAGGAATGGGATAGTGTTGACGATTTTTCCGTAGATTCTTTGCGTGCTGAAGTGTCTTCCACTTCTACCGCTTTAAGTACTTTTACTCCTAGCTCTCCTCCAGAAGAAATTAATGCCGATGAGCTTCCTAATGATAATGAGGTACCCAAGAATTCTTCAGCCGAGATTCTACAAAAAATGGGGTTAGTCTCATATCATTGATTTTTTTAAAAATCAATATGCAAAAAAAATAAAAAATAAAAAAAAATAAAAAATAAAAATAATAATTATTTTTATGTTTGGGATTTTATTCACATAAAATATTCGTTGATTTGTTTATTATCTATCTTAGTTTCTCATTCATTTATGTCAACAACTAAACACATTTTTCCATAAAGGCATTGGTTTTACAACACGAGACTTGTTCAATATATGAAAACAGATGAAAGAGCAGGTGTTAAACAAATTTTTTCAACGAATTCTATATGGATGCTTGGAATTGAATATAAATTTCCGGGTAATTTTTTTATTTCTTAATTGATCCATATTTCCCAAATACAATTACTTTTTCGATTGTAATTGATAGTTATATGCTTTATAGAGGATTGCGGTTCCGTTAACCTTCCCAAATTTGACAGAGGTGAAAAAGCTCGAAGTAGTAGGGCGTCGTCATTTTTAAATTTAGTGTTTGGATCTTCTGAAGAAGATGATGATTACGATGATTTATCGGTATATAGTGATGATCATGTTCATACTCATAAGTTAGCCAAGTCTCGTTCTTTTTCACAGGCTACGTCTGGTGTTGACAGTCAGCAATTAGGAATATCTCAACAAAAACCATCTACCAATTCATCATTGATGGGTCAAAGTATCGTAATCCGACGTTTAAGGTCATTATCTTTCTCCCAAAAATCTCCTCCTCCCGAAAATACTACTTTCCCAGAGTTATTACAACCAAATAGTGAGATTCGTGTTAACTCTGGATCTTTGAATCCCGTATATCATAGGCAAGGTGGAAAACGTAATAATAATAATAATTCGTTTTCGTTAAACAAAAAGTCTGATTCTTCAGATATTTCTCAAATTAATTCAAAATCATCATCATCATCATTACCTACAATTCAAACTGATGATTCTTCTTTAACGAACAATTTTTTACAAATTTCGACCCCAAGGCGATCTTCAATTGCTCCAAATTTTTTACGTAATTTGAATCAAGGTCTTGAACCTTTAAATTTCATGTCTCACAGTGTTTTTTCTTCAAAACCTAAAAAGTCTAGAAGAAAGACTTTTGTTGGAATTTTTTCTGGTAAGGAAAAAAATAAGCTTGATACTCCTACTCGAAAATTATATCCGCATGTAGAAATGGATAGTGATTTGGATTCTAAATTTTCTGAAAATGAGTCAAATCTTAAATATACAAGTTTCGAAGTTATTGATAATTCTAGGAATCAACTCTCTGAAGTTTCATATCCCGAAGATATTATATATAGCTCTGAAGAAAGTGATGGAAGTGATATTAATATAAGAATAGATGATATTGAACCAGATGCGCTCTCTGGTGACAATATCTCTGTCGAAACCGTAACAAGAGAGTCTGCTACACAAAATGACATTAAATGTTTTGATTTAACCAAAAATGCTAACGTTAAAGATGTCTTAAATGATAATGTACTATCACAACAGACAAACTTACATGAACGAAAGATATCAGATGCTGGATCTGTTCGATCAATTAGTTCATTCCAGTCAATATCAAATCCAACTAGTCTTTATAGACCTGATTCTCTTGGTTCATTGTCACCAAATCAAAGTAAACTGATGGACTTTTATTTGGATTTTCAATCGAGAATTTTTTGTTGTTATCGGAAAGATTTTCTTCCTATCGAACCTGCCTTTCATACCACAGACACGGGTTGGGGGTGCATGCACAGAACCGGGCAGAGTTTATTAGCTCAAGGGTTTTTATTGACTCTTTTAGGGAGAGGTAGATTTGTTTACATATTATAAATTATTGCTTTATTGCTTTGTAAATTAATATGTCGATTTAAAATAGAATGGCGGTTACATAACCCTCAATCAGATTCTAACACATTGATATATCGAAAAGTATGATCATTATATAAATCGGTTTTTCAATTTTGTTTTTTTTTTTTTAATATATCGCTTATTTCTTTGAAAGATTTTGCGATGGTTTATGGATGGTCCAGAGCCTGAACAATACTATTCTATTCATAATATCGCACGTACAGGAATTTCATTAGATAAAAAGATTGGAGATTGGTTTGGTCCTGCTAATGTAGCACACGTATTAAAGTAGGTTCGATTATAATTTTACATTTTTATTATTTTGTGTCCCCTTATTAATTATTAAATTACTATAGGAGATTATCATCGAATCACAAAGAATGCCCGCTAGTTATTCACGTCCCAGCAAATAACAGCATATATAGGGCAGAGGTAATTAATACAGCTATAGGAGAACATGATGGTAATTTATTCAATGAACAAAAGCCATGGAAACCTGTACTTATATTACTTTCAGTTAGGTTTGTATTTAGACCTTTATATTGTTCTAATAATAAAAATAATTAGAGTCAAAATTTTTATAGCTGTAAATTCTTTTAGACTAGGTACCGACAGATTTAATCCAAGTTATTCTGGAAACTTGAAGGTTGTACATCAAGCATTATATTTTATTAATATTTATAATTATAAATATTAGTCATTAATGCTATCGTAATAATTTCAAGACTTTGTTTACTTTTCCTCAATTCTTGGGAATTGCAGGTGGTAGACCAAGAAAGTCTTTATATTTTGTAGCCGTTCAGGGTATGATATAGATAAAATATTATAAAAATAATACAGTTTATATCATTTAATAATTTACAATCTTTAATCAATCTTGTAAATAATCGGCATATTACTAGATGATGAACTATTTTATCTTGATCCACACTTCGTCCGACCTGCAATAAATCTCAATAAAACAACTGAATTTCCAATTGAAGTATGCGGTTTTTTACTTTGATCCATATGTTTAATTTACATTTTTATGATTAACACTGTATAATGACGCTTATTAAGGATTACCATTCTACTATCGTTCGGGGAATGGATATTACTGAAATGGATCCCTCAATGCTTTTGGGATTTTTATGTCAAAGATCTCAGGATTTTGATGATCTTTGTCAGCGAGTTGAACAGGTAATTAATTATATTTAAAAATTAGAATTTTTTTTTCAAGCATATGATTATACAAATTTACATTTATTTATTTATTTTTTATTTCGTAGGAAATGAATTCTCAATTTCCAATTTTCACCATATTAAATATTAGCGATCTAGCTAATGACTAAAAAAAAAATCGCTAAGACGATTTTTCAACTTGTCGGTCGATTTTTTTTTTTTTTTTTTAAAGTCGGCTGGTCGAATTTTATATATGTAAAGGATAAACGCATAATGCGAATATATATAACAAGGCATTCTCATTCTAGTGAATTATTGATATATCTAGTGAATTATTGATATAGTGAAGTTAGGATTAATACCAATTTCTCATACTGTATAGTTAATTACTCATAAAACCTCTCATTATAATGAATTTATAAAAAAAAAAATTTTTTTTTATTAATAGCCCAAATTACTTCAACTATAACAAAAATTGACCTACATATATCTAGTAATATGTAGTAATAAATAAGTATTAAAGTATTTAAGTAAAATTCTCCGTGTTTTTTTTGATTCTTTTACACGGTCAATATTGATATACTTACGAAGTAAAAGATACGGTAATCAAAATTTTTGTTTTTGCTAGGTGAAGCGTTATCGTTATGTAATAGTAAGTTTTTGTAATCTATAACAGTTTTAATTTTTATTTCTTGCTAAGTAGTAACTACTTTAACTAGTTAGATTAGATTAAAAGAGATTTAGTAAACTTAACGTTTAATGGCTTTCTTTTAATAAATAATAGTTATTTTCTAATAAGTTAGAGAATTTGATAGATATTACAGCAGAATTATACTTGGATACTTTTAAAACAGCTGAATAAGTCCAATTTCATATATAAAGAAACAACATAATAAGCTTTTTTATTTGTAATTATCTAGTTTTTTTATAATTAATTTTCTAATAAAAAAAAGCAAAATCGTTTAAGTTTTAAAAAAATATAGAAGCAAGTACAAATTTTATTATTGTCTTTTATAAATATATAACTTATTCTTATAGTTTATATTTGTATAAGATTAATATAAAATAAATACAGTTTGTCCAGTCTTATTTAGATAATTTTAGTTTAATCCTAATTACAGTTTAGCAGTTTTAGTGTTAATACTATTTAAAGCTTTAATGGTTAAAGCTAGTTTTTGTTATTAAAAAACTGTTTAAAGCTTTAATAGTTAAAATATTTAGTTTGAACATATTATAATAAAAAAACTACGGTAGCTTAGAACTAGTTTTTATGATTAAAGAACTTTTTAAACCTTCGATAGTTCAATTTTTAGATTAAATTTATAATAAAAACTAGTTTTTGTAATTAAATTAAGATTGTAATTTCTAAGCTAGTTATAAGATCACGATTCAAATTATAGTTTTAGTTTATCTTGGTTTTAGACAAGTCTTATGACTAACAGTAGTTTCGTAGTCTAAGATCAGACTGCTAACATTCCTACGTTTTACAAAATCGAGTCATGATTCGTGACAAAATAGCTTTAACAAAGTTTAATAACAGATTAAATTTATTTTTTAATTTTTGAATGAAAACTACTAAATATACATAATCGTTTATTACAATCAGTGTTGGAAATCTGATGTTTTCAACGTTCTCGAGAACATAAAAATATTTTTGAGAACATAATATTTAAAAATTATGTTCTCATTCTGAGAACATAATTTTTAATATAGTTAATAGTATTTTGAGAACAGAAAATTTTTTAAAACTTTATTAATAAGAACATAAATTCAAAATTTTATGTTCTTAAAAAACAAAATGTTTTTTTCAGATTTCCTTCACTGATTACAATTACTATCATAATTAATATTACTACTTTTCATATTGTGTATCTTATTTTTCTAATTTAAATTTTTTTTTTTTTTTAATATGTATTACAAAAGATCAAATAACACCTATCCCATATCCTCCAAATCCTTCATATCCTCCATATCCTCCATATCCTCCAAATCCTCCATATCCATTAAATCCAAATGGGCTTATTGGAACTGCAAAAGGAGAGAAAGCGGTTTCGGCAGGAAGAATACCACGTTTAACGAACCCGATGACTTTATTTACACCGCGTTTTTGCTTATTACCATCAATTTCTCCATCACGTTTTTTAAGAATCGCGCCACCTCCGAAAGTATTTCCGAACTCGGAACTATATTCCTGAGTAGCACCAAATGAATTACCAAATCCCATAGTGCCAAGTCCAAGCCCAAATCCTCCAAATCCGGTTCCTAATCCACCATATAATCCACCAACTCTACCAAATGGAATGCCGATTATACGTTTTTTAAGAGGGTCAGTGGACATTGATGGAACATTAGTCGTTGGCTTTGTCTCGACCGGCGCAGAAATTGTAGAAGAGATGAAAATTGAGACAATAGTCATTAAAGAGAAAAGGAAAATAGAAGATTTACTATTAATATTCTTGGAAAGCATTTTTTTTTTTTTTTTTTTTTTTCCTAGACAAAAGATTTAGTTAGCATTTTAAAGTTTTTATACTTTTTGAGCATATTAAACAACAAACGTAAAAACGATCAAATAGGATCATTGATGCTTTTTTGCTCATGCGCAATAGCAAATCTTTGCGATCTTTATATTTTTATAATCAGTTTTTGTTGAAAACGCATTACTTTAATGCATAATGCGGAAGATTATTATGCCAAATATCGCGGAGCAAGTGGAATTAAACAGAAAAAACCGATATTTAATACTAAATAATCGCATTATATAACATGACCTTAAAGCATAAATAATTACTCCGGCTTTGTCAAAACTTATTATTTGCTCTATCGATGATAAGTGGTTATGGGTTAACTTTAATCGTTTTTGAAAAATAAATGACTAAATATATACTTTATTAACAACTTACACGTAACTTATCTATTATTATATTAACTCTGCTCAAAATCAGATATAACATGATAGTCAAAACAAACCTGATTTTTTTTTTAATTAAATAAAAAAAGTTGTGTAAAAAAAACAGGGATGATAAAGAATATACTGTATAAGCGAAAGCAATTATTACATTTTTGCTAATTATGCTTCCTGCCCTATAAAAGTTGCTATCCCGAGCAAAGTAACTTCTGAGGGGGAAATAACACCTGATTCAGTTGACTTAACTCCTTTTATTCATTGACCGATTTTAATTAGGCTGCAGAAGGTGGGGGTTTTTTTTTTTTTTTTAATAATTCAAAAAAGTTTATTTAATTTTATATCAAATTTATCTTGCATGGGTAACGGTTTCTATATACCAGAAAAGAAAAGAAAACGAAAATATAAACAAATGTGTGTTCTCTTAATAAATAATTATTTCGTCAATTAGCCTGACAAATCAATTTTTCTTAGTTGCGAAATTAGATTTCATAGTTGGCTGGCGAAATTATTAGTGAATCCTTATATGAGGTGAAGTTAATAGAAAAGGGACAAATCATTTTTAGTAAAATTTTTTTTTATTTTTAAATTAAAATATCTCAATAATAATTTTATCAAATTTAATAAATTTTTTTTTTATTTTAAATCTATAACTTATTAAAATTAAAATAAAAAAATTCTTATAGGATTTGCTTTAGTAGTTGTTGAAATATTTTATTCTAAACTTAGAAAATATTTACTTA